CTCAAACAGCTTACAGTCTAAACTCTAAACAGACAGGGCATACCAAAGAGTGTGAAAAGACACGTGTCATAGTTCCTGATAACATAAGGGATTTCCTTCCCCCCCACCCCACCTCACTCACATTCCCTTTCCTAGATATCCTTTTAAGGAATACATAACATTTACCTTTTTTATGTACTGTGTATCAGATCCTGAAAGTCTACATGAGCTACTTGGTTATATGCAATAGGAGGCAGTCTTTCAAAATTACCGGTATTTTGAAGGCAGGAAAAGCTGATTATCGTGTGAGATGAGGGTGGGGTGTGAACAGTGTTCGCTAGAATTGTTACCTTGGCATTTCATTGCAATGTGGTGCAAGCAGCATAGGCAACACATGCAAATGGAACCTTCCTGGTGTACCTTGAGTTATAAAAGTTTCTGGCATGAATAAAATAGTGAGACATTGAACCTATGCAAAGCTGAAAGCCTCTGTGGATTGGCATGGGAATGACTCATGACCTTTGTTGTGGCTGTTCAAAACTTTTAGGTGGAGTGGCTGAAAAATGAAGAGGTGATTGATCCTGTTGAAGACCGGAATTTTTACATTACCATTGATCACAACCTAATCATCAAGCAGGCACGTCTTTCTGACACGGCCAATTATACCTGTGTAGCCAAAAATATTGTTGCCAAGAGGAAAAGCACTACTGCTACTGTCATTGTCTATGGTAAGTGAGGTGCAGTCCTGCAGCATATAGATTAAAGTATAGCCTGCACATCAAAGGTAATTTCTGGAGTTCTCTGGTGCAGCCTGCTGCTGCCATCATATTTGATGTAGAGGAGCCACCTGTAGAGACCAGGAGCCTCTGCTTTAATCAGTGAACAAACTGGCTGTCAGCTGGACACAGTTTGAATGGCCCTGATGGCCTTATTCCACTCATTGACATATACCCAGTACATATCAGCTACAGCCAGAATTCAACATTAAAGATACTCAGAACTTCCAAGTAGACAATCTCAATTACTTTTTCAGTAAAAGACAATGACAGCACTTGACCATAAAAAGCATATTACTTCACTGGAGAGCTGAAGAGTCTCAGCTCTTCCCTCACAATAGAGAACTAGTTCAAATGGATGCTCAAATGTTCCTATATTTATATAGATGACCTATTTACAACATACAAATTAGTTGGATATTTTGTACATCATCAGAACTTCACAGACCAATTTCATCGAGGTTCATATCACATTCTGAACAAAACATTCTAAAAGCTCAATAAAACTCAAAGACATCGTATGTGGTCCAGACCCTGCATATGATATGGGCATCAGTAGGGTCCCCATGCTATTGTGTTATTTTGGTCTGTTTCAATGCCTGGCAACAAGGAGTGTTATAATTGCAGTGCCAGCTGAATATAAGAGGCATTCTGAGAATATAGTTCACAGATCTGCAATCTAGGTTACAGAAAAACATTCTGGGAAAATAAGACAACAGCTAGCACATTATTCTACATTTGCATATTCTGTACCACCATAAAATAGACCTCATCAGGAAGACCTCCATGAAGACCTTTATCTGTCTCCCATGTAATTATTTTCCTTGTGATACCTAAAGCAGGGGATATCCAGAAGGAAAGGACTTACTCTGCTGTCTGCCAGCTAACTGTCCTGGTGTTCCTTACAATTAGTTTAATTACAGGGTAGAAAAGTGGGGGAAACATCTCTATCGTTATCCTAAACATTAATTTCATAGGGTAGCAGTTATGTTTAATTGTAAGTAGTTGCCTCCCTGAAGTTACAATGAGGGCTTTTAGTTCACTTTGTATAGCAGACTATCGGAATGGAGTTGAACAGCCATGTTTATGATGCTGAGGAAGGCCATGGCATGCTTACTGTGTGTTCTGACTGTTGGGAATACAGCAATGCACAGATACAGGTAGATTTCAACATATCTTCTCTATCCTGTCCAAGTCATAGGGAGTAGGCCATGCAGTTTAAGATTACGGGCAACAGACCTGTGTTGAGAAGCAGCCATTGGCTTGGAGTTGTCTTGTGACAGTAGTAACAATGAAAAATGTGGGATTAGGAAATTTGTGGAGCTAAAATGGTTTTCAGGACCCAGACCTTGAGACTATGGTATGTACCAGCACTGGCCTTTTTCCATACTGTTCTCCAAGCATGTCACATATTGAAGTGCATGCCAGAGACGGTAAGCAATAGGTTAGCCACATCCACACAAGCACAGACATTTGGTTCCCCGGGGACAACTAGCAATAGGATACCTTGTGCCACTGCTAGTTGTCCCTGGGAAACACTTGTGCCACGCGCCCTCTGGCATGCAACATGTTACCATGGGTGGTGTAGGGGAGGCTGGGGCCAGCCTTACCTGGGATCCTGAGGGCCTCCCAGAGCTGCAGCAGTGGCGATCTTGCCTCTTGGAGCCTGGCTGGCAGCTGGAGTGTAGCTGCATTCGGCCAGACTCTGGTTTTGAGTGGCACACGTTATCCCAGAGTGTGCCTCTCTGCTTTTTTTTTTGTGCAGGTTTTTTTTTACCCTGGATATCCAGGGTCAAAGAAACCACCCACACTGCTCCTTTGCAGAATGGAAAATGGCTGAATGTGCAGTATGTGGTGCCACAGATGGATCTGCGGCATCACATACCTTACAGCCATGCTCACCTGAATGCAGCCCTTTAGTTCATTCTGAGCTGCATGGCAAACTGAGTATGCATTATAGAGATGCCTGGGCTTCCAGAGATGCAGATTGTCTTCAGGGAGAGGTCATTGCTGTAGCTTTCTGGGAACCTTTGCTGCAAAGACTGGAAAGAAATACAAGAGAAATAAATGAAAGGAAAGCATTTCAAGGTGGGTAGAAGATGCTTACATCTGAAAACAAACTATAGTATGGTCTCCATACACAGTGAATTATCTTATCTATAAATAATGCATTCTCAGTATATATGTATGTTACCTTACAGAGCTTTAGATTCACTATTCATCCTTACAGTGACAGCCATTGTAGGTAGATAGGTAAGTGCTTATTGCTTAACTATATTTGGTTTCAGAAAGAAGTTGTCCATCTTGCATGCAGTATGTATCATGTAACAAAATGGAGCCACATCTCATTCAATGGGAAGGAGTATTTATAGCACTTTGACAAAGATCGTTGGTGTTTTTTGAGAGACAGATTTATCTTTATTTAATGCTCTTTGTTATTTGTCACTTTTCAGTCAATGGTGGTTGGTCTATATGGACTGAGTGGTCAGTATGTAACAGTCGATGTGGGAGAGGTTATCAAAAGCGCACAAGGACCTGCACCAATCCTGCCCCACTCAATGGTGGTGCCTTCTGTGAGGGCCAGAGTGTCCAGAAAATAGCTTGCACCACTCTCTGTCCAGGTACAGTATAAAAGATTCAGAGCCCTCGATGCAATTATTTCATTTTTTCCAACTTCAAACATTTTAAGAAGTGACTATTAGTCACACACACTTGTTTACTGAATCTAGTATTTCAGTAAATAAATAGTACATTGTGTTATATAAGTAGATAAAGTAGTGCACACACATTAGATCAAACAGCAATGGATTAAATCCCACTGCTGCACAAAGCATGCACCATTATCTCAGTCCCGGTAATTCAGGGGATTTGCGTTACATTGAAAGCTTCAAATTTTAGGAGCTAAAGCTCTTGATCTGTTGAAAGCTGTGGAAATAAACTAGAAATTAAGCACAGAAAATTATTTTGGCCAAAACATATTTGTAACCTTCTCTTTGCTGTATATAAACTTCTTGGTTCACATTGTAAAGATAAGAAGGGCATTTGAAACACCTGAATTGTGTGTGTGAACTTGGTGGATGCCTCTGCCTGTCAGCACATACAAGGACATTCATACCTGAAGTGTTTATGCCTTAACATAATCTAAAATGAGTCAAATGACAGAAACATTTTTAAAAATTATCATTAATACACCATTATTCAAAAGCTGTCTAAACAACACACTGATTAAAAGGGTGAGTAGCTTTTACAGGGCCAAATTCTGGCAGCTTTACATGTGTTTTAGTAGTGCTTTCTCTAGTGCTTTCTTATGTCAGTAGTCCCATCAAAATCTGTGCACTACTGATATATTGTTGGAATAAGATATTATTGGGTATGTGAAGGGGGCATGAAAACCTAGATCTTGGTGCTGGATGAAACTCGGAGAGCTGAAAGTTCATTTCCAAACATTATTCCAAAATCTAGATATTAGCTGAGCTTATAAATTCTGACTATTGAAATCAACTCTTTTGAAAATCATGTGAATTTAAAGCACTAAGCATTTGGGTCTTCAGCTCATATGAAAATCAAGGAAGTAACAGTACTGATTTGACTGGGGACAGTGAGACCAACATTAAGCCCTTGTGAAAATCCCTGTTTAGACTATTTATTTAAATACTTAATTGTGGATTTGGGAGCCAAAGTTTAGACTCACATTTTAAAAAACATGACCATGACTTTCATTTCCACAGTATTCCTTTAAATATGTAAATATCAAGCTCATAAATATAGATGGTAGCAATGGTAATAAATTACACGTGCAGAATACATATTCTTGGGAGGTTGGCTAAGCGTACCCAGTTATTCCAGTAACTCCTATTTCATTGGCTTGAGTTATTTCTTAGAATATCTAAAATAACGTTCCATTGCAGACCCATTTCGTCTTTATGGCTGCTTGCAGACGTTAACAAAAATGTGCTTTACCGGAAGCAGCAGCACATTAGTTCGATCCAGCCCTGCAGTGTCTATAGATCGGACGCTTCAGTGGTGCTTTTTGGTGCTTTAAGCTAAAGCTGATTCAATTAGCCATTAGATAAAAGCACCAAGAAAGCCCTACTGAAGCACCCGATCTGTACAGACACTGCAGAACTGGGTCGAACTAACATGCAGCCTCTTCTGGGCATGCACTGGGCTTGGTGTGGGAATGCACTGAGTTTAAAGTAAAGCACCATTTCTTTTTCATTTCTTTTTTAATGTCTGCAGGCAACCTATGTTATAAAGGGACAAACAAGGATACCTTTCTGGTTTCTTTTTTTTTTCTTCTTATATCATTTTTCCATGGATAAATTTCTTATTGCTTCAGTTCTAGAAAGAAAGAAAGG